ATTGAACCCTCGAATTGGTAACGCGTCATCATCCAAAATCCATATTCCCGCAGTGAACTATCTATGGGTACCTGCTGGTTAATTATTACAGAAACAGTAAGAGAGCCAGTCATTCACTAGAAAAAGCATTGCAATCGTCTCCTTTTGCGTATCAATTCAGAAGAAAACATGTGAGGATTCAATAGTTGAGTTTACCATTGTTTTCAATTGACAAAGTAGATGATCACAAAAATCCAATCTTTAGAAGTTATCGCTGAGAACATAACAACTTATCAGAAACCAAGTGTTCGTGTTTCTAAAACTGAGTGCATATTCTTATGGAGTCAAAACAACCATTCTGTTACAGGCACTATCCAAACTAGTACAGTTTCACATTTGGAAATTGCAGTGTGGAAGGAGCATGCTTGATGCCTTGTTTTCCGCGTATTTAGATCAAGTGACGGGTGCTCGAGCCTGTTCCGTGAATGGATGACTCAGTCACTTGGATTGCAGTAGCGAATAACAAGAGAAAAACTAAAAATTTATGACACGTAACACAGACATCGAAAATGAGGTAGATAGACCTCATGATTGTATTTCATTCATTCCGTATCCCACTCCTCACTGCTCTCATGCTAACCTTGGGAAAGTACACATGTAGAACCTGGGTAACAAATTTCTCAAAAGAATAATTCATTCAAAACGTCTTTGGTCAAGAGGACTGGTACCTATCACGTGATCGTGTGAAAGGTCCGTGAGGACATAAACGTTTACATGCGAGAAACAATGCAACTATCCGAATAAGCAATACTGAAAAGCAATGAAAAAAGTGATCAGCCCCACTCAATGTAGGAGCACACGAAAAAACAAATAACGCAACGAGCAGTGAATTGATCAATCAATGAATTTCTAATTGTCAGGTTATATGCTAAAGATTTGGTCATTGACTGTAGACAGCTTCAATGCCCGATGTAAAACCAAACCTATTCGAACGGAGTACCAAAGGGTTCTTAATATCCATTGCCAGAGGCTGGGTTACGACTTTATGAAACCTAAAATTCCAAGCTGCCGTGTCTACGCAAGCAAATAAATGAAAAAATTGAAAATATGTGCACGCATACATGGGGTAGAATAAACTTTTGTACCTTTTTCGAAAGCTCAATCGTCGATATGATACTTAAATCACGAAATTGATGTTCGTACGTAAATAACTCGCAATCGTAACAGCTGTGCCGCCGCGCAATTGAAGTCGCTCCCATCAACAAGGATATACCATATGATCGCCACGATTTGGTACGAATGAAAAAGGAGTCTAGAGCGATGTGCTAGGCTACTGTTTATACTAACAATATGGAATTGTACAGGTATGAAAGCTTATGAATTGGCTTCGTAATCATTCGGGATAGAGAAAGTCAAGATACAAGTTTTGGTTTTCAGTTTTTAGAACCATTAACCATACACTTTCGAGCGCAATGTCTTAAGTGGTTTCATGAGAATTCCCGGACGTGAAGCCATAGAGCAGATGCACAGTATAAGAATTTGAAGGAACTACAAAGACTGCATCAGGACTATTAAAAGAGCTTCTCACACAGATTAGTTGACGCCGATACGGCGACATGGTCGAATACCATAAAACAAGAAATCCTGTATTAGTTTGCAAACCTCAATTCTCATATTAACTTAAATATTCGTGAGTTTCAGAAGGCTAATGCTCCCTCGTTCATTTAGGACCGGATGAGATGCCAAAAGATAAGTAAAACTAACGCGAAAAATCAATAAAACAACAAAAGACTTACTCTTTTACTTATATCGGTCTTTTCCATCCAAAATCCTAAGCTCAAGCGAAAGATATTCAATTTCTCAACCATCCTATTTTATCGATTAATGAAGTGGTCAAGATTGGCTTTTGCTGGTCACGCGATAAAAGAGGTCAAACGACTACATGCGACTGGTTGATTTATCTCCACCCTAACTCGTTTTATTGCAAAGAAAATAAATTACCGACACGAGTGCTCACAATCCCGAACAAGATGTAATGCGTATTGGATAGCGTGGTGAAGCTACAAGGGGACAGCCGGACATTGTTGGAATGAGTTTGATCGTCGGTGGATGGGAACTGCCTGCACGCAATTAGCCGATGGTAAAAATAAGTGACAGCGGAGCTAAGACGAGCAAGTACAATGCGCGACAAAACCATAGGGACAGTCGCACGTTTCCGCTGAAGTTTGCTATTACAAGACTCTTTAAGTTCCCTTCCGCCGTGCTGAAACCCGGAGGAGTTTTGAATTAGGCAAAAACATTCAGCATACAACCGAACATTTTAGTTTTATTAACAAAGAAAGCACTCGGACGACAACTGAAAAGAGGGCCAATCCACTGTCGATGCGTTTTTCTATCATTTTACGGTTATGGTTAACCAAGCTCACGCAGGGAACCGCCAGTAGTTTTCAATTTACCATGAATCTATCGATAGGCATTTGATACGTTCACGTACCCCTAGATAAGAGAACTTGGTGCAGCCAATTTTGCCGTTTTTTCAATGTCACGAACCGGTAAGTTATCGCAAGTGAGAAACAGATGGTGGTACTCAGACAGTTGCCCATTGGCGTGCTGACTCATTTAATGAAAATCTTGTCATTTCCCGGTTGATCGTGGATTTGACAATGCTACATCAAGAGTGGGTATCCTTGTATTCCGATGTATAGAATCAGATCCAAAATTGTGCATTGCACATTACTGAGGATGTCGATCCGGACGCTGAATGCTAACCAAGTTTAGGATTGGGAAGAACCGACAGTGATTGTATGAGTGCTTTGGCCAGTGCGGAAAAGCAAACGAGACAGATAAAATGAATCAACCTCGGGGAGAGATGGCAATATACGTATGCAGCAGTTGTCCGGTTCACGCTCACAGATTTACCCCAGAAGTGTTGCATGCTACCGGGCACGCACTTAGGTCGACGTAAGAGAACCAGCAAACAATCATGCAACTAAGTGCGATGAAGGTCAACCTGGGTAGAGCAAGAACAGAAGCAGAGTTGAAGGCTGTGGCACGGTTTGTATGCTTAGTGCTGGATACCAAAAAGCATTCATAATAGATTTCATAATTAGAATGCTTATGTCCTCGTGCGCGGTTGACTACATTGATTTGCTCCTAAGAAGCAGACTGCCTGACCTGGAGTGTAGAGACGACATTGTGCTACTAACTGAAGATCCAGGTAGTTTCCAAGCGTTTCAGGACGGCCTGAGTGACAGCGTATCAATGTTTCGTAGCGGTTTGCACCTTTGAAGTGTAAAACGTTGCTACACAACTGGGTTGATCGAGCCCTAAACCTTACTCTCACTGGAAAAATCAAAGAGCAAGTATCTAATGTTCGTTACGTGGGCACCTGAATCTCACGTGGCGGATGCGACAGTTCAGTTCAGTTTGTCCAACAATTAGCCATGCCATTTCGTGCACCGGTTTTGGTTGCTGTCTTTTCGCTGTCCATTTGGATGAACA